TTCCTTCCCACTGCTCTCTTGCACTTTCTCCTTTTTCTCATTCTAGAGCTTCTCCAGACTTGTCGGCCTCTTGCCTTGTCGGGCCCCTCTGGACCCTCCCCCCACAGTGATAAAGCTACAAAGGAACTTGGGGTGAGTTTAGAAGAGAATGGCCCAGAGAAAAATTCCTGAGAATGTGAGAGTTCACAGTGGGGGTGCAGGATGCATTCTCGCCTCCCCAGCAGAGGAACAAAGAGCAGGGCACCACAGGCTGGTGGTCGAGTGACCCTTTAGTACAGAGCTGTTAGTGTCCTTATAGAACATCTGAAGGAGTTCAAGGTATAGGACCTCAGGTAGATGTGATTGATCGTTTGCGGAGGTAAAGCCTTTCAGTGGAGATCATTCTCTTGGGGGAATTCACTCAAGGAGACATTTTATCTCCCAGGGACATCTATATTGCGTTTCTCTTTCCCTTTAATTGTATATTTAAGCAATGAATTATTGATATTTGCAGTTACTTGGATCAACACAGTGAGAGATATAGGTTCCAAAACTTAGTTCTCTGGGCTCCAAGAGCAAGCAGAGGGCTTTTACCGTGAATTCCAGACTAAGTCCTCAAGCTGGTTTAGCTTCTCCTTCTCCTTGTTAAGTCACAATGGCTTGCATCAATAGCACACTTTATGCTTTCTAGACTGTCCCATTTTGATGCCGGGTTAGCTTTGCCATCCACCCAGGTCCATCCAGGTCCTATGGTGGGACCCAACCCCTTTTGAGTTGTTAGGAACGGCAGCAACTGAAGCCTGAGTCAAGTAATTATGACGGATGCCCTGGAGTAGATATATTTCAGTCAATCAACTCCCAACTCTTAGGAGCATGGCACTAACGATCTCTCTGTGCTTAAGCAGAGAACATTGCTCTATAGTAAAATATGAAAAGACGAGAGGGGAAATAAAAAAGCAAGTAATTCGTTACAATACAAAGTCCAGAATGACCAGAAGTTTTGACATAAGCAACCAAGACTGACTTGGGGGATGTAACAATGAGAGTAAAGCACCAAGGAAAAGTTAAAGATAAACTCAGGGGACTAAGAATGCTCCTACGAGCGGTAAGCTTCTCTGGGGAAAGGCAAAGGGGCAATTCACCGATGAAGCCTAAAACACGTAGGGTTAATATCCAACAAGAATGGCTACAGGCTATGGCCCAGAACATACATTTTCCCCAATCCCTTTACTCTATTACCGTGTGTGTGTGTGTGTGTGTGTGTGTGTGTGTGTGTGATGCACAATAGTTTTTATTGAAACTTGCTTAGAAAGATTCGAGGGGAGAACGAAGGAGAAGTTGGCAACAAATATCACTATGCATTGATTATATGTTCAGTAATGTGTTTGCTCTATTCTGCACGTCCCAACGCAAAGTGCTCAGTCACACCCCCCCCAAACAGTGAAAGGAAAATAAAAAGAGGTTTTCCACCTTTTCCAGAGCTTCCTACTTAAGGATACTCCATGCCCCAGCTTCTGACCCTTTGATGCCGGGTTAGGACCCCTAGGTGAACCTATGTGAAGCAGGGAGGAGAGAGGCAGGAGCCTCAAGAAGGGAATCTCTCTATCCACCTCTGCCAGTCGGCAAAGGTGAAGGGAAATCTAGGACTAATAACAGTCTGCAGTAAACCTTACTCCTTGCAGGGAAAAAAAAAAAAAGCCAGTTCTAGACATTACCAGACCTTTGGGGACTATTGTCTTTCCCTTCCAGAAAATTTTTTCCAGTAGGAGACAAGCGGTAAAGTATAATGGGTTTTATTTGGAGGTTTTAAGGGGGGGAGGGGTGAGTGGGGGTGGGTAGTGAGAGAGAGACAGAGATAGAGAAAGAGGGAGAGACAGAAAGCAAGAGGAGAGAGAGGAGAGAGAGGAAAAGAGAGAGAGAGAGAGAGAGAGAGAGAGAGAGAGAGAGAGAGAGAAGAGAGAGAATAAGAGTTTAGAAACAAGAGCAAAGCACTCCAGAGAATGTGACTGTTTCTCTTCAGAGTGGAGAGAGCCCCAGTACACAACCCAGCTTTAAAGTACGAAAGGGAACAACTCGAGCGGAGAGCGCTCAGCCCACATGCGCTCAGCAGCAACACATGTGCTAGGACAGCATTCGTGCACTTCCTCTGTTCACGTTGGCTTTTACAAGGATTCTCCCAACATGCCCCTCGCAGGGCTTTCTACCTACCTAAGGGTCCTCTGCTTGGGTGGTTGCCAAAGCGGGTAGAGCTGGGAGCAGCTGATGTTCTTCTTGACGATTCCTTTCCTGACCACGTTTCCTGCTGGGGAATTCCCTCAGAGGAGGGAATCCAGCCTTCTCTCCGCCTCTGCGGGGGACAAATAAAGGTCTTACCAGGCCTTAGTTTCTGTGTCAATAGAGTGGGTCCCAATAGCCTTAGGGCTAGTTGATTTTGTTACCAAAAATTTATCAGGGTCGCCTACCTGTCTGCTTGCTTCATCTCCTCTTCTTTGTTTCAAATCAAGTTCCTAGTGAATTAGGTCCTCTCGTGTCTGACCCTCTGCTTTCAATCTCGACTTTCAGAGGACAAGAGCTCGACTGTACGTAATCTTCGCTGCTCACTTCTTTGCTCCCGGTGACGCAGGCAGGCAGGTTGGGGAGCCCTCCCCGCACTCCCCATGATGGTCATGAAGTATCTGGAAGTAATAAAGTCACCGGCCCTACGTCTGACCCATCTTGTGGCTACGGTAAGCAAGACCTGGTAAGACCTTCTCCAGCAACAGACCCTAAGGAGACCAGACCCCGCCCACAGAAAGGGCCTGACGGAAATGACTTGGAAAGCCCTCAGTTCCCTCCTTTAATCTGATTGCCGCTCAGCTAGCTGGGACCAGAGAAGGCTGGACCCATCCTCTGAGAGAAGACCCAGCAGGACCAAAGGTCAAGGAAAGGCATTTCCAAGACCGCGCCCAGTTCTACCCACTTAGCAACAACCCTAGCACTGGACTCTTGTCTGGGTAGAAGCCCCACGTGGGGAAGGTTGGGAAAACTCTATAAAAGCCACCTTGAACAAAGGAAGGGCTGCATATGTTGCCTGAGCCCATGCATTGCTTGTGCCCATGTGGCCAAGCACATGTGGCACCCGAGCATATGTGTCGCCCTCCTCTCCCCTTTTTCCACGCGTACTTTCATGCCTAATGCTGGGATGTGTGTAGGCGCCCTCCCGCCCTCAGAGAAGCCCAAGTTCTCCCTTGAGCACTTGACTCTCCCCACACATACACACCTTCAGAAACCCTCCAAATAAAATCTGTTTCACTTAAAAATTCTTTTCTGCGAGGCAAGAACCCCGAAAATCCTGGGCAAAGCCTGGGACTGGTTTCTCCTTTCCTGCAAGGAGCAAATCCTCGCTCCAACCTGAGTCCGTGGCTCCCCGAGAAATCGGGTGGTGGGGATCAACATCGGAGCCGGGAAGACCGAGGGGAGGTCAGGTGGGGCTTGACGGCCACCCAGTGGAGCTGGCGGGGCTCCGTTCCGTGCCAAGCAGGGGCTCGTCGCAGACCTTGCCAGTCCTAGGGCGTCCCGGGTGCTACAGGCAGAGTGGGAGAAGGTGCCTGTCTTTCTCTCCTTCCAGACTCACGCGAGCCACCCATGAGTGCAGTTACACGACCCCACTTAAAAACGGTGATATTTTTGGTAAATATTTGCTGTTCATGTTTCTAGAGAGAATTCCTTTGACATCTCTGAGTCCCGGGGTTGAACTGCCTGCTTCGTAGCACGAAACTTACGCTTAAGGAATGATTGTCACATATGGCCTCTGTTGTGCCACTTGTTTTACTTTCATAAAATAAAAATCAGAAAGGCCGGTGACAGCTATCACTATGCATTAGTAGGATGTTTCGTCATGTGTTTCTTCTTCTCCAAAGCTCTTCTCAGTTCAACTTCAAGTTTCGAAATAGATCTTTCTTTCCCAAGTGACTCCAAGCTAGTACACTGTTGGGCACGCGGGGCAGTTTGGGAGAGACCTTGTACAAGCCAACTTTGAAGGACTCAACAGAAGTCCAAGGTAAGCGACATACTTTTAAAACTATAGATGCTTTGCTTTAGAAGTTGACAGCGACGTCGGTAATAGATCTGGCCGACAGAGCTAAAAAAATCATTGCTTGTTCGCTCTCTGACCTTCTGTCGAAAAGGAGCGCAGCAACCGCCAGACTTCTGAGTGGCTTCTTCTGCACACTGGACAATGCAACTGGGAAGGCCTCCGGAGCACCGTCCTGGGAGCGCCCACCTGAAGATGCCCGTTTTCCCAGGGGGGTGGGGTGGGGGCGGGCTCCTCCCAATATGCTTCCCCAGGCCCTTTCCCGGGACTTCCTGGAAACCTCGAAGGTGCCGGAGGACTTGAGCAAGTCCAAATCGACCGCCCCGGGGCCATCGCTCTCCCGGCCACCACCGGGCACCGTCCCGAGCAGCTCAGAAAACGGTTGAGCAATGAATGAGCCGGGGCGCGAGGGGGGGCACCGGCGGCCGCTCGGCGGGGCTCGGCGGGGCTCGCCACGGGGAGGGGGAAGGGGGCGGGATTCGGCGGGGCTCGGAGGGGCTCGACCGGCCCGGGGGAGGGGACGGGGTTCGGCCGGCCGGGGTGGGCGGGGCTCGGCTGAGCTCGGCGGGGTGCGGCCGGGCGCGGCGGGGCTCGGCGGGGCTCGGCGGGGGTGCGGCCGGGCGCGGCGGGGCGCGGCGGGGCTCGGCGGGGCTCGGCGGGGGTGCGGCCGGGCGCGGCGGGGCGCGGCGGGGCTCGGCGGGGCTCGGCGGGGGTGCGGTCGGGCGCGGCGGGGCTCGGCGGGGCTCGGCTGGGCTCGGCTGGGCTCGGCGCGGCGGGGCGCGGCGGGGCGCGGCGGGGCTCGGCGCGGCCGGAGCGACGGGGGTCGGCGCTGCTGCGCGCCCGGCAGCCCCGCCCGGCCCGGGCCCCGGAAGCCGGCGCGGGTTTCCTGTGTCCGCCCCGCCCGCCGCCGTGTCCCCGCGCTGCTCCGCGGCCGCCGCTCGCGCCGCGCCGGGCCCAGGGCAGGGCGGGCCGGGCCGGGCCGGGCCGGGCCGGGCCGGGCAGGCGGCGCGCAGCAGGGGAGGCTCCGGGCCGCGCCGGGTGAGTGGGGCGGGCGCGGCGGGGGGCGGCCCGGCGAGCCCGGGAGGGGGCGGGGGACGGGCGCGGCCTCCCGGGGGCTGCCTTTGCCGAGCCGGCCGGTGGCCGCGTCCCCGCCTGGCCCCGTCCCCGTCCCCGCCTGGCCCCGTCCCCGCGCGCGGGACCCCCGCCTGCTCTCGGACCGCGCCCCCCGCCCCAGCGCGGCCTCCCCGGGGTGGGCTGGGGGCTTTGGTTTTTCCCGGACCCTGAGTGAGGCTCCCGGGCGCGGTGTCCAGGAGGAGCGGGGAGGCGCGCTGACCCCGGGCCAGCCCTGCGCGCGCCCCGGAGAGGCCACCGGCCCGCGTCCTTGGGCCACCGTCCCCCCCCCCCCCCCCCCCGCGTCGGGTGGCCTTTGTGCGCCCTGTCGCGCCCCTGCCAACTCTTCCTGCCGCGGGTGCTTTGCACGCCACCAGCCCCGAGTCTGGGAGGCCAGGGCGAGCTAGAGAAAGACCTGGACCCCCGACTCCAGTAAGTCACTCATCACCCACCCACCCCCGGGTGCCCGGAGGAACGGGGTCAGGTGTGGCCCTTCTGCAAAGGGCCCCTCGGTAGAGAACGCAGCCCGAGCCAAGCGCGGCTGGCAGCACTTTGCACGGTAGTTTTGGAGAGGATGACGCTTGGCCCGGCCTTCTGCATCCAGACACTCACTGCAGGGGGAGATGAAGAAGGAGGTTCGAGACAGGTGTCCAGGTCGGGCCCCCAGACATCTGGGAAAGGAGCCAGACCGCCAGGAGGACCTCCAGTGGGAAAAAGAGGCGAATCCTGGCCTTCAAAGTGAAATAAAAGTGGGGGCCAATGCAGGGTCTGGAATTCCAGGGGAGAGCTCTAATGGGAATTTCCCACAGCAGTTTTCCCTGCTGGTGAGAAGTTTCTGCAAAGGAAACCTAAACTGGAACTCAGGCCAGGGGCGGGGGGACCCCCGCGAGATGAGGTCTTTGCACTTCTGCAATGAAAGAGGAAATTGTTTCCTTCCTGTGCTTCAGGGTTTAGGGTGTCAACCTGCCTCTTTTTTGTCAAAGACAAAAGTGCAAAGAAATAATTTGACAGCCGTCATTTGGATCTTGAATTTCGGGGTTCGAGGCTAGCCAGGATAGTTGCCGAGGTGCACAAATGTTTTTGGAAGCCTTTCACGGGCTCTGGTTGCATCGATGTTGAGTAAGAATCACAAATGTAAGATGGTGCTAAGCATATAGGTACTCCGTGTGGGCTCACCCTTTCTCTGTCCTAAGGCCTCCTGCACAACACAGTTGGAACCTTTCATGCTCCTGAGAGACCCGCTCACAACTTGATCCTGTGCACTGCTTGAACTTGAAAAAAAAAATTAATCTAAGGGCTGAAGAGAAAGTAGGTAGGGAGGGTGTTTGCTCTGCAGCTGCGGGTGCCCGGCCCAGGTTCAAACCCCTATGCTGTGTATGGTTCCCTAAGCACCACCAGGAGTGATCCCGGAACACAGAGCCAAGTGTGGCTGGAAACTTCCGAAAATCTAGCCAAAATCTCTCTTCTGAGCAGAGTATCTATGTGAGACGGAAGCCAGCTCTCTTTGGATTGATTCAGCAGGATTGTTTATCAGCCTTCTCTACTTAAGAGAAAATCAGGCCCAATTTTTGTCGCTCTGCCCGAGGGGTGCTTTCCCATTCCTTTCTTCACTTTGGCTTCTTACAATAAATGCTCTCTGGTTTCTCCATGCCCTTTAAAATTGATTGTATTCTATTTACCTTTGTTTCTTGAGTCACACCCGGCGATGCACAGGGGTTACTCCTGGCTCGTGCACTCAGAAATTACTCCTGAGGGACCAGATGGGATGCTGGGAGTTGAACCTGGGTTAATGCCCTACCCTCTGTGCTATCGTTCCAGCCCCTGATTTTATTTTTCGAGTAAGATCTGACTGGTTCTTTCCTGTGCCTTAAGTTCATGTCTGTGTCTTTAATCACAGAGCTGTTAACTCACCCTAGGCTCATATTCACTGTCACTGTCACTGTCCTCCCATTGTTCATCGATTTTTCTCGAGCGGGCCCAGTAACGTCTCCATTGGAGACTTTGTTGTTACTGTGTCTGGCATATCGAATCTGTCACGGGGAGCTTGCCAGGCTCTGCCGGGCGGGCGAGATACTCTCGGTAGCTTGCCGGGCTCTCCGAGAGGGGCGGAGGAATCGAACTCGCGTCGGCCATGTTGGCTGCGTGCAAGGCAAACGCCCTACCGCTGTGCTATCGCTCCATGTTAGCAGCAAGAATTTTACTTTGTCCTTTTGGAGTCATCCCTTCTGTTCTTTTTTGTTTTTCCCAATTAGACATCAGCTTCTCAATGGCCCAACAGTTTCCTCTTCTCTGTTAAATTTGCGTTGAGGTTTTCTGCCTGCTTTCCAGGTTATTGATCTTTCTTCCATATTGATACCAAATTGCCTTGTCACCCCTCTCTTTTGTTGAGGTCCTTTGGGAGAGAACCACGGTTTTGGTTGAGATCATAAAAGAGATACGAGCTCACGTATATGCCCTTTTGTTGGGACATCCTCTTTTAGAAACCATTTCATTCCACACTACTTGATGAAAATAGCAGCTGTGCCTTAGATATGGCTACATCCATTTTTGTTGAGTTCCTCTGTATCCTTTCCTGCATGTCTCCACATTGCTGTATTTTCCGGTTGAAACTCAGTGAGTAGCTTTTGAATGTTTGCTTTTTTTCCTTTTTTTCATCCAACATTCAGGGATATTCTGTTTCTACTGTGAGGTCTATTTTAAGTTTCCCTGAAAAAAAAAAACACTCATGACTTTGCTAGATAACACCTGCTAATTTTTTAGTTCTTCCAAAAATCACAGCTAAGGCTCAGTGGATTGAATCTCATCAAGTTTTTAAAGTTCATCTTTCAGGGCTGGAGCAATAGCACAGCGGGTAGGGTGTTTGCCTTGCACATGGCCAACCCAAGTTCAATTTCCAGCATCCCATATGGTCCCCTGAGCACCACCAGGAGTGATTCCTGAGTGCATGAACCAGGAGTAACTCCTGTGCATCGCCGGGTGTAACCCAAAAAAAAAAAAGTAAAGCTCATCTTTCATCAGCTGCTCTTAATCAGTTTCATCTTGTATCCTTGAGGCTGTTCTCCTGGGGGACCATATGTTTTAGGAATATCACCCCTTTCAGTGTTCATGGGCACAGCTAAAAGGAATTTTTTTCCAGGTCACAATTTGGGTTTGTAGCAGAAATGCTTTCCGAACAGACAGCGGCTCTGGGCACAGGATGGGAGTCAATGAACATCCAGCTGGATGGAGCAGAGCCCCAGATGGAAAGGAGAAGTCAGGGAGAGGTGCCCTGGAGAACAATGGCAGGCCCACTGGAGCACCTGTGCTGTGGCCTTGAAGAGGAATCACAGTCTCTTCAAGAGAAAGGTGAGAACCTGGAAGATGGAGGATAGCCGTGGAAAGCAGTCTTCTACTTGGGTGTAAAAAAAAAAGAACTTCAAAGTTCCCAGACGCTAGACCTGAACAGCATGGCCCGTACAGTAGGAGTTGTCTATTCTGCCTGGGTTCTCGTCACAAGAATACACAGAGGTCTTAGATTTTTGCAAGCCAGAATTCTGTAACTAGATGTCTTCCGGTGATTGCATGATCCCTCTGCCTACTGCAAGTGCATGGCTAGTGACATTAGTGTAGGAAACAGGGCGGGTAGGGGGGTGGATAGAAACACCGTAAAATATACTTTACTACCTGGGTATCACATTCAAATAATCAAAATGCAAACCACAGCAAACCCCATAAGGATGGATAACATAAATGCTGAACTGAAAAGCCACATGACGGCTTATGGAGTAGTCTGTTCCCTTTATGCATTTGAGTTTTTTAATACAGGCACAAATGAGAGAGGATGTGACCCTTAAGATTTCTCCAAACTAGGAGTCAGGTTTTCTTGGGCAAGGCCAGGTGCTGGATCTCATAACGGCTCCTGTCTCCCTCTGCAGCTCAGTCAGCTCCCTGGGTCCCTGCTGTTCCCCAGGAGGCGGGGACCGGAGACTGGGAAATGGCAGCCGCTCTTCTTGCAGCAGGATCACAGGTGGGCTGTGTGCTTCCCTCGGCCTCTCGAGGCTTTCTCAGTGCTGCTTAGCATCCTCCGGTGGGTTCTTGATGTCACACGACCGTAGGAACTGGTCATCTTACATGTCACCAGATTCTTCCCTTTCCTTCCCAGGGGGCATATAGTAATCGGAGGGGTGAAGGCGGGGAGGGAGCTCTAAAGCAGTATTCAGGAGGCCCCCGGGGGCAACTCCTGCCAATCCATGGCCTGCGGGAGGGCCCCAGGATGCAGTGCTGGGCTTCTTCCATGCTGTATCCGGTGCTGATGAGGGAACCATTTGGTGTTGGGGATCCAACCCAGGTCTGCTGTATATAGGCAGGCTCTCAGTGTCATCTCTCCAGTGCCTCATAATACTTCTAGAAAAAAAAAAAGAGGCATTCCAGTAGGGGAATTCTTAGAGATTAGAATGTTTTGTGCCTACTTCAGCAGCACATAGACTAAAATTGGAATGCTTTCAGTGGATGGCTATGCCATTCACGGGGGAGTATTAGGAACGACTCATTCATGTCCTTTAAGGAATCTGGAAAGATGGGCTGGGGAGCTCGACAGCAGGTAGGCTGTTGGCCTTGCATGCGGCTGACCCTGACACCTTCTACGGTCCCCCAGGCCCCACTAGAAGTGACCCCTGAGTGCACAGCCAGGAGTAACCCCTTAGTACTGCTGGGTGTGGCCTGAAAAACAAACCCCCAAAATTAAAGAAATCTGGAAAAATTAGGAAATAAGTCCTGGAGGAAACTTGGGGAAAAAATCATAAACAGGATTGGATGGATGATGAGAGGTTGTGGCATAAAAGAGAGAAAGAGATAAATGGGCAGAACGAAAGAGGAAGTAGGTTTCCATCCAGGGGCAGTGGGAGAGCCCCCGAAAGAATAATAGTAGTAATAATAACTCTAGCCCAGAGTAGCTTATAGGACTGCTATTCTTAGTCCTGAGAGAAACTCAGTCATCTCTGTTTTATAGATGAGAAAAATTGTAACAAGAAGAAATTAAAGCCATACTCCTCATAAGTGGCTCCAAAATCTAGGCTTTTGACCACCTTACTGTGCTACCTCTAAAAAGGTAGCTTGAGTCCTGGTGTTGGGTGGAGAGGAAAACCCCAAAGGATATTTTATCTCTATCATTTTGTGCTCAGACAAAGGAAAGTCAGTTGGAAGGAGCTAGTACACAAATTTCTGCAATTGAAAAAAAAAGAGGGAAAAGAATAAGGCATGGGAGAGGTGAGGCAGCAGGCATCTAGTTATGTAGCGCAAACAGTGAGTAGGCTGCCAGTCTATTCCTGTTCCCACTTGGGAAGCTTCTCTGGAGACCTCGGTCTGCTCACTCACGGACCAGGACCTTTTCCCCCACCTCGTCTCTACTTTACCAAAACCGTGTGCCCCACTTATCGTTCTTTTTCTAGAGCTTTTATCTTGTCTCTTGTCCTGCCCGCCTCAGTCTTTTATACTAAGATCACATTTTTTTCTTTTTTTTTTTTTTGTTATATTTATTTATTGAATCACTGTGGGAAGAGTTACAAAGCTTTCAGGTTTAAGTCTCAGTCATACAATAATCAAACACCCTTCCCTTCACAGTACTTATTTTCCACCACCAAGAACCCCAATATACCCTCCCCCCAGCTTCCACCCCTCCCGATGCCTGTGAGGCAGATGATTTCTACTTAACTCTCTCTACTTTGATTCCATTCATTATTTCAACAAAAGATGCACCATTATTGTTTAGAATTCCCCCCCCCCCCCCCCAACAATCAGAACTGCTGAAAAGGCATTGTGAAATAAGTTGTTTTCTATAGCTGGTTATGCATGAGTTTGGATTCCTGATATTTTACTAATTAAGTCTGGAGGGATTTCTGCCAAGAGCCAGATAAGTGCGAGATTGGCTTCTGTGCGTCTGGTGTTATGGCTGTGCCGGAGAGCCTCTCATGGGCGCAACTCGTGACCTCGGTAGGGTGTGAAGGATGAGCTGGTACCGTCCCCCATTCCATGAGCCTGCAGTTGCCCTGTCACCACCGGCTCATACCTGTCTTTCCAATAAGCTCTGAAGCGGTGGCCACCTTGCTGCCGGCAGGGGGAGGTGGAAGGGACAGACACCCTTTCACATTTTCTTTCTTCAACTGTAACTTCTGACAGAAGATTGTTCATTTTGTTTCAGGGCCTGGTAACCATCAAGGATGTGTCATTGTGCTTCTCTCAGGAAGAGTGGCGAAGTCTGGACCCTTCTCAGACAGACTTTTACGGAGAATATGTCATGCAGGAAAACTGCGGGATTGTGGTCTCCCTAAGTAAGCACGACTCTCCCCAGCTACTGGAAGATTTTACTCTGGGAGACGGACCCACTTGCTCCAGGGATGGTGTCTGTCTAGGATTCTTTTGCTAATAAAAATCTGTATGGGGGCTGGAGAGATAGTACGGTGAGTAAGGCACTCGCCTTGACTGCAGCATACCTGGGTTTGGACCCTGTATAGCACCTCAAACTCCACCGGTAGAATTCCTGAGCACAAAGCTAGGAGTAAGCCCTGAGCACCACCAGGGCTTAACAAAAAATAAAATTTAAAAAGGAAAACCAAAAAGTAAAAACAAGGCTTCTGCCAAAGAAAGAGCAGTAGGATTAATCCAGAGAAATAGACTTGAGTTGTGAAATATGAAAACAACAACTACATTTTGGAGAAGAGAACCTTAGTCTCTTTTTGGTCAAGAATCAAAAGGTTTTTCCAAAGCAGAAAGAGGGACATAAGAGATAAAAGCATGGGGCTGGAGCGATAACACAGCGGGGAGGGCATTTGCCTTGCACGCAGCAGACCCGGGTTCAATTCCCAGCATCCCATATGGTCCCCCGAGCACCGCCAGGAGTAATTCCTGAGTGCAAAGCCAGGAGTAACCCCTGTGCAACGCCGGGTGTGACCCAAAAAGCAAGAAAATAAAAAGATAAAAGCAGGTTTGGGGAACTTATTTGAAAACTTAAAGGGAAATGGGGTAATGGGAGTGTAGAGGCGGCAAAGCCTTAGTCAGATTAGTTCAGTGAATTATGACCAGAAAGAACAATTGGACTGGAAATGTTTGGAATATGAGTGGAGAGAACAAACCCAGGGAGGAGAATATGATTTTCTAAAAATAGAGAAAAGGAACAAAACAGAAATGGGCAGTTGGGAACTTAGAAGAATAAAGCCTGCGTCTGGTCATCTTTTCTTTAGAGTTCCATGGAATGCATTGTATTTTTTTTTCTTCAGTAGAAATATAGATTTACAGTTGAACTTCTTTATATCTCTGTTTTCTTTCCTTCCCCTCCCCCCATGGCCAGGATTTCCAATTCCCAAATTGGACATGCTTTCTCAGCTAGAAGGAGGAGAAGAACAGTGGGTCCCTGACCCCCAGGACTTGGAGGAAAGGGACATCCTGAGAGTCACATACACAGGTAAGGACCTTGACTTCTCACCTGCCTTTGCTCCTCTCGGAGTGTCATCATTGCATGCCCTGTAATCCTTCCTCTGTCTCTGAGAGCTACTGAATCTTAAAGTATAGAGATTTTCAAAAGGCAGCCAGACTTCATGGGTTGGAATCTGGGACCGTACCCCATAAGACCCTGGTGAAGAAACAGAGCCTGATCTCCTCCAGAAATTACTGTAGATTTAAATATGTTATCTTAGGACATTTCCAGGGACATAATAAGCATCACTGAATGTTAGTTGTTGTCGTAGTGGGGATGCTCTGCCTGCCACCCACTGAGAAATGCCTTCCAGAATACCTGTGGCATTCCTCACAGGTATACCCAACCAGTGGTAACTACAGCACATTCCTGAGCTCTCCATCTATGCTTGGGCAGGAGGATAGAGATTTTATCATTGTAACTCTAACAGTGGTAAATAAATTATAGTAATTAAAAGAGGGTAGGCCAGGTAATAAGTGCTCACTATGTACCAGCATGGAGCTCGTTATAAAAGTTTATCTTGTGTGGGGCTGGAGAGGTAGCACAGCGGGTAGGGCATTTGCCTTGCACACAGCCAACCTGGGTTCGATTCCCAGCATCCCATATGGTCCCCTGAGCACCAACAGGAGTAACTCCTGAGTGCAGAGCCAGGAGTAACCCCTGTGCATCGCTGGATGTGACCCAAAAAGCAAAGGAAAAAAAGTCTATCTTGTGATTGTTCCCATTTTACAGAAATGAAAATCAAGACTTGCAGAAGTCTCAGGGGAAAACAGGTTCAAAATAGGGCGATCTGGTTCCTAGGCCTAGATTTTTAATCTCTGTGCTTTCTTGTCCTATGTTGTATATCATTAGATTCTGTTCTCCAGGCCTCTCCAGAGTGAGATTAGGCTCGAACAGGTGCTAACTAGCCTCTCCTTTGACTTGTGTTCGTGGTGTTCTCCGTGTAACGCATTGCCTCTCGGGGTCGTTGTTTCCCCTTCAGGAAATGGAAGTGAGCACGAGGGGGACACCCCTGAACTGGAAGCAGAACCTCCCAGAATGTTGTCCAGCGTGTCCGAAGATACTGTTCTCTGGAACCCAGAGCAGGGTGGGAGCTGGGATTCCATGCCCAGAAACCCCAGAGGGATGCTCTTGGGCCCACCTTTCCTTCAGGAGGAGAATTTCTCCAATCTCCTGTGTAGCACGGAGATGGATTCCCTGCTGAGACCACACACGTGCCCCCAGTGTGGGAAACAGTTTGTGTGGGGCTCCCACCTGGCCAGGCACCAGCAGACACACACAGGAGAGCGGCCCTACAGCTGCCTCAAGTGTGAGAAGAGCTTTGGGCGGAGACATCACCTGATTCGGCACCAGAAAACCCACCTCCACGAGAAGCCCAGCAGGTGCTCCGAGTGTGGCAAGAACTTCCGCTGCAACTCCCACCTGGCCAGCCACCAGCGAGTGCACGCGGAGGGGAGGTCCTGCAAGGGCCGGGACGAGGACGAGAGCCTGGGGGCTCGGAAGCGGCCGCGGCCGCCGCCAGTGCCAAAGTGCCACGTGTGCACTGAGTGCGGGAAGAGCTTTGGCCGGCGGCACCACCTGGTGCGACACTGGCTGACACATACTGGGGAGAAGCCCTTCCAGTGCCCTCGCTGTGAGAAGAGCTTCGGCCGCAAACACCACCTGGACAGGCACCTGCTGACCCACCAGGGGCAAAGTCCTCGGAGCAGCTGGGACCGGGGGGCGTCGGCCTTCTGAAGGCGCTTCTGCAGCTGCAACTGCGTCACATCTGTCGGCCGGTGCTGCCCGGGGTTCTCGCAGAGCTGCCGGTCTCGACACAGGAAGGGCCAGTCTCATAACGCTGCCCGTCCTAGAAGGATGAGGCTGCGGCGTTGGCCGGTGCGTTTCTCGCCCCTTCTGTGGGATGCCACGTAAAGTAGTTGCAGGCAAAAGTTTTGGGAAACAGTGCATACTTCACGGGCTTTTATGGAGCCCAACTCAATCCTTAAGAGGGACACAGAAATAGTGGCTTGTAGCCAAGGGCTGTTCTGATTGGCTGGAGCCCGTGCCAGACAGTCATAGTCTCTCTTTCTAAGGAGAGAGAAGAATGCGTCACAGGTTAAAGGCTCGAAACACTTACCCGGTAAAGCAAATTGTTAAGCCTCTTCTATGCAGGGTTTCCTAAACATACTTGCCTCAGTTTCCTTTCTATCTCACATCCTACAGAATTGGTGATGATGTGAACCATTCTGGTGAACACTGGGTTAGAGGAAACAGGAAAGAGAGAACGTGTAGGGACCCAGCACCCAGAGACACCCGCCCCCCTTGGTAAAATTCAGATGAAAGCTGTGGGGCAGGCCTCGTTCCTGTGTGGGTGCGGGTGCGTCACTGTTACCCCAGGCATCAGTATACAGTTTCACTCCCACCTGCTGCACAGTAGAAACAGTAACCTTTTTGCCTGTTACTCATACTCCCTTCATCCTGCACAGACATATGTCCAGCTGAAAGATCACGCTGCAACAAACACTAAGAGATATACTTTATACATACATAGCCCCAAGCAACTCAAGTCCACACAGAAGATAAAGCTTGATTCCCTGGGACAGACCCATCCTTTAACTGTGTCTTCGTGTCTATGTGTATCTGTTGCAGGGTCTTTGAAGAGAGCATGCAAAGTGCAAACTGTGAAAGCTAGATTTTCTAGGGGCTGTTTTAGGGATGAGGGTTGTGGGGATTGTATGGGGCTTTTCGTTTGTTTTGTCCCAAGATAGAAAATAAGCTGAGAGATTACGGGAGCCCTTGTAGGAAACGTTAAGTGATGGATTAAGTTGTGGAAGTTGAGGTGTAAAACTTTCTCCAGTGTCGCTGAGAGTAACACTGAGATTAATATAAATATATGTATGATGTAATACGCACACACACACGTGTGTGTTTGTGTGTGTGTGTGTGTATAAACACACAGTTGTCTAGGTGAACCTCTGAACCACAGATGACACAGATTCTCTTTGCCTGGGAGGAAAAAGAAACATCCTCAGGTGACCTGATTCTTGTTCATTTCAAGCAAACTTCTTATAGAAGCTCTGAGCTAAGTGAGATTTGGGGGTTGCTATAAGTGGTAAATCAAGGCAGGAATCTCAGTGCTTGCAAGTTGTCATCACTCTGGCTTGGCCGTCAAGGGGTAGAGTATTCTTGAGGATTTCATTGTTAGAGAAATAGGACTTTCGTAGAAGTGACTGTGGTTTAGCTTCTCAGCTGGTATCGGGAATAAGGCTTCCAGTTGGCTTCTTCCCACTTCTGGGAAGGTGTTCACGTGACGCGTCTTACCTCCAGGATTTGCATAAGTATTCCAGCATCTGTTAATGAGCTGTTCATGGCTGTTTCTATTGACTTGCTAATACCAGTCTTATAATTTGAAAATTACATTGAAGAGCAGTTGGGCACTAGGCTGGAAGAGGAGCAAAAAAGATGAAAGTGGGCTGTTTTTCTCTCTTATGCTTAAACTCAGCTTTTTTTCCCTTACACACTTCTCGACCACAACTGAGAAAAGTCAGGAGAGACAAAAGGAAGTGAATTGCACCAATCCAGTTTAATGACTATTCTGTTTGCTTGAAAAAAAAGTTGTTGAATACACAGTTCATCTGGGTCCAGGCCCAAATGGAGCTAAAAATGTAGCTGTTTTGCTGATACAGCTTTGTAGTGAGTGTAAACTCCCTACGCAACCCAACTCCCACCTTCCTCTGGCCTTTCAAAGCAGCATTCTGCTTTGCCTGAAATGCACGCCTCTTCTTATACTCCAGTGAGTAGAGCAAAGTGATCAGCCCTTTGTAAGGCCGTGTTCGAGACCTCAGAAACAGGAGCTCAGTGTTATCACGGACTTGTAAGGTATTGGCTTCCCATGGTAAGATCATGCCACTTCTGTTGCCCTCCTTCTGTACCTAGTTCATAAATGTCAGTTAGCTTTGCAGAAACAATGGTCTGTAGTTACAGACCCTTTTGAGAATCTAACAGCATCAGAAGCTCTCTTAGGAGAAGAATAAGACATTAGCAATTCACCCATTTTTGCATACACATTTAGCAGATGCTGTGCCCATGCATGGATTCACTTAAGTGGGGTCAAAAGGGGGGTATCTGCAATAATCCATTGTGGTCATCATAAGATATTTTTGTCAAGAATTACAAAGTAAAGATAGCTCAATATTTTAAAGACAAAGATACCAGAGGCAGTAGAATATAAGGATAGTCTGGTCTTTAATGGCTAGATAGATAAGGAATCTTGCATTCTCTGTTTTTCAAGGAAAGATAAGATGCTCACAAGTCCACCTTCTCACACACATGAGGATGGCCTTTCCTTCCTGTCATGTCAAAACTTTAAAATCACATTAACCTTGAGCCTTTGCTCTGTTTTAGTAACTGCCAGCCTAGAAGTGAAGCCCCCATGGTGCAGGTGCAATCAAGAAGCACTCAAGAAGGCATCATAAACCTTCTGTAAAATGGGGCAACCCTTTTCTTCACTTCACTTCTCGTGGTCTACTGTTTCCTCTACCTCAGTCCAATACCACTTCCCTTGGACAAAAACTAAAACAAGAAATAGCCATCTATGGGTGAATTTTAGTGTTGGATCTCACAGGGAATTAGCCTCAAATGTCTCTCTTCTACCAACTTCTACTACATGTGTACACTATCCTCTTTAAATAATAATAATAATTTTTGAACTCTCATTTCTCTGGATAAAGTGGTAGAGAAGTCCATTTTCAGTAACCTGTTATCTTTTTCCTCCGCAGTGTCTAGACCCTCTTCTGGACTCAAAATCATTTACACTGGAGTTAACCCTATTAGCCATTCCGAGGGTGATTTATATTTTAAGCCTTAGCACTTTGAAAATGAAAGGAATGGCTTCTTTTGCAAAAGTAATATGCCTTCAAGGGGTTAAAGGGATGGTAACTTAAGAGAAAAAAAATCCCTTTTCCACCACTCCTGCAGTCAAAACACTTTCCTCTTTCCATCACGGGCAGAGTGAGCCTTCACAAGATTGGTTCTCTCATTATCTGTTCAAATGAGTCCAGCAGCTGCGGTTCAAAGGGGCTGGCAGGAACAAGACAAATCTTCCATCAGACGTAAGAGATCCTGAGCCGACAAAATTCCTTTTGTTTCTTGAAGTGCTATACCTGGTCTCAGATCTCAGTCAGCAGCAATACCACCTGGGAATTTGCTTTAAAAAGGCAAATTCTCAGACTCCAGACCCAAGAAACAAATTCACAACTTTATTTTTTTTCTTTTTGGGTCATACCCAGCAATGCACAGGGGTTACTCCTGGCTCATGGACTCAGGAATTATTCCTGGTGATGCTTTGGAGATCGGATGGAATGCTGGGAATTGAACCTGGTCAGCCGTGTGCAAGGCAAACACCCTACCAGTTGTGCTATTGCTCCTGCCCCAAATTCACAACTTTTAAGTCTTTTCAGAATAACTAATGAGATTCAACTCCCATTTCAATCATGTTATTCTATCCTTGTGTGGGCTGGAGCAATAGCACAGCAGGTAGGGCATTTGCCTTGCACGCGGCTGACCTGGGTTCGATTCCTCCGTCCCTCTCAGAGAGCCCAGCAGGCTACCAAGAGTATCCCGCCCACACAGCAGAGCCTGGCAAGTTCCCTGTGGCGTATTCAATATGCCAAAAACAGTAACAAGTCTCACAATGGAGACGTTACTGGTGCTGGCTCTAGCAAATCGATGAACGGGAGGACAGTGCTACAGTGCTACTCTATCCTCTTTAAATGGGGAGAACCCATTCTAGGTAGAAGTTGTAATCAAGCCATGATGCCTGTCAAAAATATACTTTGAAGATACTGTCCAATTTAGTATTCAAGAAGGGCTCTGTCTTGCACGCCTTAACCTACACTCCAGTTCCTCTCTGGCATACCCACAAGGACAGTTAAACTAAAGCTGCAAGCCTGCCACCCTTGTGGAGCACTCCGGAGTCAGGTGAGAGTAGACTTAAACTCTTCCAGAAAGGTGATGAGCCCCTATCCTGCAACGCAGAAAACCTTAGCTAGGACTTTCTCAACCCGATACCTCAGGCTCTCCCTCTGTCCTGTAACCAGCTCCATTTTCCACGCTGAGCAGCCACTTTGAGTTGGCTGGTTTGATTTGGTATTTTGTTTTGCCTGGGGAATTTCAGTTTCCCAAGGGTCTTTATTCTTCCCAGGCCCTAACTTTCTCTTCACACCAAGCTCCTAGCTGTTGTCTGACTTAACTAAATGGCTTGTGAACTTCCTTCAGATTACTTGATCCTTTGTACCCCTCTGGATCTGTAACATACTCTTTGTGGTCCCTGTCATTTAAATAAAACAATGTGACCAATACTGACTTCCTCAATCTACTCTTTCCTCCATTTTCATTTTTCCTTTCCTGATAAAGCTGTACTGGACAGCTCCGGAGAGTTTCACAGCCATGTATAAACACTGCTCCTTCCCCCGTCGCCTGCCTGCCCTCTTCAAAGTTTGGAACTACCCCTCGGCTCTGTTCCCAAATTCCAGATACAGCTTCACAGTCAAAGCCAAACCTTAAGGTAGACCAGCAAAGCAAACTGGGCAGGTTGGGCCTAGGGTGAGGCCAGGAAAGTCTTGGGCACAAATTTAAGATGACCTCAGTCGTAAGGTCATTCATGTGTTGATCCAGCACTTAGGATACTGAGTGCTGGGCCTGAGGTTGGAGCTTGAGGTGTTAGTGACTAAATCAGTTACTCTGGACATGTTCATAAAAATTGGAAATTTGGGGGAACCAGAGGAGGCACACACAGGTAGGGTGTGGCCTGCACCAGGTCTACCAGATGTCTTTATGGAAGGGATGTATATATGACAGGAAGAGGGTAGAGGGTGAGAGAGAACAGGAAAGCTGGCATGAAAGAAATCTAAGTCATGACTTCCTGACCCTGTAGCTTTTCTGGAGTAGTGAGAGGGAGTCGCTCCACGGACATTGAACACAACACAAGGAGTCTGAACTGTTTCTCTTGGAATTGCCTTAACAAAGAGCGTCCAGCCTAATGGTCAGTGCATGATTCTTAAATATCTCTACAGCTTTCTGGATGCGGACTTCACTGTTTTGTTGCCTCTGAGTTTTGTTTCCCTTTTGTTGCGTTCACCTTAACTCCCCCTTCCCCCTCTCTCCTACCAGTATTCTGCAGTAATGACATTGAACAAGTCTAGTCTTAGTCCTGACCCTCTCTTCCCCCACCACCTCACAGCCCCCAAAAGGAAACTCATGAGAGGGAGGGGAAAAACTGCCGTTTATTCAGATGCCTGTTGCTGTTCTGTCAGCTCAGGTGAACTACTGAATCCTGACTTCCTTCTCTTGCTTTCTTAGTAATACATCTCCTAGCCTCATGCTAGCACTCCTAGATTTTCTGTTCCTCTTTTCCAAATCCTTCGGCTTTTCAAGTTCTTTCCTGACATGGTGTCCTATATTCATTTTCCGAACCAACCTTCTTGGACTTATTCAACACTAAGGTTTTGGCAGAAGAGCTGTCCAGCCCAACCATATGTCAGGTCAAAGCTGTGCTGTGAGGAAGGAAATGGAGGAGGAAGAAGAGGAGGATGAACAGGAGAGTCGCTGCTTTAAGACCACTGGTAAATGGAGATGCTTGTATATTCTTGAAACACTTATATACCCAAATGTGTTTAAGGACATTTACACAAACAGCCGAAGAGACATCAGTCATTGAAAGTGCATAGAGGGGCTGGAGCGATAGCACAGCGAGTAGGGCGTTTGCCTTGCACGTGGCTGACCTGGGTTTGATTCCCAGCATCCCATTGGTCCCCCAAGCACCGGCAGGAGTAATTCCTGAGTGAAGAGCCGCCAGGAGTAACCCCTGTGCATCACCGGGTGTGACCCAAAAAGCAAGAAAATAAAAAAATAAAATAAAGTGCATAGAAAAGAATTCTAAATTTCTGAAATTTGCCTCATAGAATGAATAGATAGTGAGACCCCATTCAAGATCTATACCTGCTGTGAAACAAGCACTGGATTTGCAGGAAAGAGGTCCATTTCTAAATTGCACATTTTCCAAGCATTAGCTTTTCACTTAAGATCTAGCAAGAAGAATGCAATGAAAGTGAAATGATGTATGCAAAAGTACAAACTTTCTAAATGAAAAGGCTATAATTGTGTGGAAACTCCCACTTTATTTTTGAAACTGACAATTTAAATGATTTTGAAAACAAATATGAAAAAGATAGAGTCACATTTCAATGTGTCCCTTACAATTCCTCACACTTGTTTACAGTAAATAACACATTATTGTGTATCCTTCAACTTTCTTTATATAATTACAAAGACATGTTTTCTTTTATTTTGTACAAACGGTAGTACAGGGTACTCGATGTCTATTTTTTTTTTTTTACTTAATGTGTTTTGGACAACTTGTCATAAAAGAGACAAAAAACTCCCATTTTGTATGACTGGATGCTGTCTTATTGTATTGGAACTGCCACAGGTTAACCAATGCCCGAAAGATGTTTTCTCCTTTATTACTTACTGTAGTATTATACTAAATACTTGGACACGTCATTTTACAAATCTAAAACATAAATTCCTGAGTTGTGCGGAATCAAAGGGTATTTGTATTTAAAACTTTGGAAGCTAGGGCCCTGGTAGATAGGTACTTGCCTTGCCAACCTGGGTTCAATTCCTGGCACCACATATGACACCTTAAGTCTCACCAGGAATGATCCCTGGGCACAGAGTCTAGAGTAAGCACAGAACACAGCCCCTGATAAAACAAGACTTTCTATTTATATTTCTTAATTTATATTTTTTGGGTTACCATGAGATACACAGTTACAAAGCTGTTCATGATCAGGCTTCAGTCATACAACGATCCAACACCCATCCCTTCAACAGTGTCGATTTTCTGCTACCAATGACCCCAGTTTCATCCCACCACCTCTCTCCCCCAGCCTGCCTCTATGGCAGGCGCTCTCTCTCTCTCTCTCTCTTTCTCTCTCTCTCTCTCTCTCTCTCTCTCTCTCCCCCAATTTTTAAAGTTAAATTCCCTCCCCAATGGTGCTATTTCCCAAAGCTCACCAGTGGAGGAAGTTCTCACATATTAGATTTTTGCCCATCTGATTACAAAGGCTATTACATTGTTTTAATATTCATTTTTCTTATGAATGGCCACCCTTTTATACTCATGTTTGTTTTGAGAATCGCAGTATTTGATATGGACATCTAAGTTTCGTTAAAACTCTGAAATTCAACAATATCCTAATAATCATTTAAGCCAGTGCGCTTCAAAGTGGGCAGTTCTCTCTAGGGAGTAGCGGGGTGGGCGGGGAGGATGGCAGAGTAGTAGTCAGTGAAATCGTGGCTACTCTGTTCACTCAAAAATATGAAAATTCCAGGGGAAATTTCTTTTTCCTGAAAAGCTGGCAGGTAAACAGTAAGTTTGGGAACCTCTGCTCTCGGCAATTAAGAGAAAATGAAATGAGATCAGGAATATTTCACTAAGTTTAGGCAAACAACTAAAGTTAAATACTTAAATATGCCTCTAGATTGTGAGCACTGAAAGGATTGTTTTGTCTATTTATTCCCAGCAAAGGATCCTCGAGAATCTTGCAAGCATTCATTAGTCAAGAAGGAAAGGAATAGCCCTTCGGAATTCCTTCCACAGAAGTATCAACTAGCATGATGATTTCGATATCGTAGATACATTAAGGTTCTGTTTAATTTTTTGCAGTGCTTGGGGGTCACACTCAGTGTTGTTCAGACCTATTCCCGGCTTTGTACCCCGGGGTCATTCCCAGAAGTGCTCTGGAGACAATGTAGTGATCAAACCCAAGCCTTCTGCATGCATAGCATGCACTCAGCCCAGTGAGCTACTTTTCCAGTGCCTCTTTTTCTCTTTATTTTTGGGGGGGAGGGGTCAGAGGGGCAAATTTGGTGGTACTCAGGGCTCCTTCTAGCTCCATGCTCAGGTATCACTCCTGTCCATGCCATCAGGACAACACGTGGTGCCAGGGAGCAAACTTGGGTTGACTACATGCAAGGCAAGCACCTTGACCACTGCAGTGTCTCTCTGGCCTTACAGTCCCCATTTCCTATATTTCATAGGTGTACAGACACATTATAAAACTCATCACTGAAAGACAATCTACAGTAATCACTTAGCTAAGTACAGGCGGAACTCTTAAATTGATAAATTTATTGAGTAAAGGAAAGTTTGCTAAATGAAGCAATTATTTTAAAAATTCAATGATTCTTGGGAAAGCTAGAAAAATTGCCAATGTCCTTCCCGTTAACTTAGAGGGAAAGGGCTTCCTAATTCTATTTAGATAATCTTGACGATATCACACTCTCCTATGAAAATCTTGGTCAAGTATACTCTGAAAAAAAGAAAAAAATATATGGTTCTAATGGTTTTTATTAGGTAATACTAGAACCGTAAGGGGACAATACATCTGGCTATTATAAAGACTTTCACAGTAGACCCCAGAAAATCAAGTACCTCAGAATCAGCTTAACCAAAGAGGTGAAGGGCCTATACAAGGAAAATTACAAAACACTACTTCAAGAAATAAAAGAGGATACTAGGAAATGGAGACACATCCCCTGCTTGTGGATGGATAGGGAGGATTAACATTATCAAAATGGCAATGCTATTTTGATAATGTGGTCCCTATCAGGATCCCCATGACATTTTTCAAAGAAATAGAGAAAACACTCCTGAAATTCATATGGAACAATAAACCCCCACGAATAGTTAAAGCAATCCTTGGGGAAAAGATGATGGTTGGCATCACCTTCCCCAACTTCAAACTGTACTACAAAGCAGTAGTAATTAAAACAGCATGGTATTGGACTAAAAACAGACCTGCAGACCAATGGAATAGAGTTGAACATTCTGTCACAGACTCTCAAATATATGACCTCTTAATCTTTGTCAAAAGAGCAAGAAATGTGAAGTGGAACAAGGAAAGCCTCTGCAACAAGTGGTGCGGGGAAAACTGGATAGTTCCCTGAAAAAAAAAAAAAAACATAAACTCTGATCTCTAACACCAGGCACAAAAGTCAGATCAAAGTGGATTAAAGGCCTCAATATCAGACATGAATCCATAAGATACATGGAGGAAAATGTAGGCAGAACTCTCCATGACATTGAAGCTAAAAGCATCTTTAAGGATAAAACGCCACTGACCAAGCAAGTGGAAACAGAAACAAATGGAACTGCATCAAACTAAGAAGCTTCTGCACTTCAAAAGAAACAGTGACCAAAATACAGAGAGAGACCACAGAATGGGAAAGAATATTTACCCAATACCCATCTGATAAGGGATTAATCCAGAATATACAACATACTAGTAGAA